TAAATTGTATATCTTAAATGTTTCTCAAAATTATAATCATCATAAATGTTAAACGCTAAGACACATTCTACTTTGTTTATTTGTAAATATGCTAATTAACAGAATACTCCATTCTATCCTGAATGTACAGCAATGTATGCACCACATACCTGTCTTTGTAATAACTCATTTGTGCTTATTGTTAATGTTTACATAGAGATGGAGAGTTATTAACCCTTTGAGGTCGACAGGCCTCCTCCAAAACTCTTCTCAGGGTCGCCAAATTTCAAAAAAAAAAAAAAATATTTTTTCTTAGAAAAAATAGATTTTTTTTTTCTAAACAATATAGGATAAACAAAAAAAATTTACCTTCAATACTACGAGATATGGATGCATGAAGTTATGCAGAAAAGAGCCGCGAATGGCAACAACGGCGACTGCCCGCTCACGACCGGTAAACTTTTTAGTTTACTTAGTATTTGAAGGTTTGTTGTTTTTTCACAATTTTATTTTTTCACATAACTTATGTGGCCTATGAGAACCAAATAAGTTCAATGTACATATATACACTCGTTGTATACAACACAATAAGCACACAACATAATTATCAATATATTGTTTCAAAACTTGTTTACAAAAACAACAAATACAAAACAATGTTTATTATTATTGTTCTATAAATATATACCAATATACAGTCACTGAACATATTCCTATTAGTTCGCAGCTTGTGGAAAACCTCTTTTGAAACATGGTGTCAAACTCAATGGTGTTTTAATCTTTCTCCCTCTATCTATCTCTTTCAATCTGTCATCTCTCTTTCTATCTGCCTGTCTTCTCTGACTCACAGGTACCACATAAATACAAGTATACATAGTAAAAATACTAGGATAACCCAAGAAATCCAGACAAAGTGCTATACTCGCTTGAAGATGTGAGTAAAAAGTGATGACCAAACAGTCTTGTGGCTCTCTGAGACAGAGAGCTAGACGGATAGACAGATAGACAGGGAGCGTACGACAGACAAATAGACAGACAGAAATGTTAGTGTACCAGTACCAGTGTACAGTGTTCCTCCACCCTCCCTCCTCCTCTTCTTCCTCTTCCCCCTACTCTTCCTCATCTTCCCCGCTACTCTTCCTCATACTCTCCTCTTCCACCTACTCATCTCTTCTCTTCCTCCTTCCCCTCCTCCTCCTCTCTCACTCTTCTCCTACTCTCCTCCTCCTGTCCTCCTCATCATCTTCCTCTTTCCTCCTCTTCCCCTAATCTTACTCCTACTATTCCTCTTTCCTCCTCCTCTTCTCTTATTTACTCATTCTCCTACTCTTCCTCTCCCCTCCTCCTCTCATCCTCTTCTTCCTCTTCCCCCTACTTCTTCTCCTTCTCCCCTCCTCCATAGTGTAAATTACAGGAGTCTCTACTCGCAGCTGTCCAAAATGACAATTGTCTCATTACTCACTCCCAGACACTCCCCCCTCCCGCCTGTCAAACAATGGGGCGGATGCTGCTTCCCTTCCTCCATTCTATCTAATTATCTTTCTCCCATTCATCTGTCTTTTTAATCTCTGTCTCACAGGTACACATAAATACAAGTATACATAGTATAAAATTACCTAGGATAACCTCAAAGAAACCCAGGAGCAAAGTGCTATACTCTGCTTAAGATGTGAGTAAAAAGTGGATGACGCAGTCTTGTGGCTCTCCTGAGACAGAGAGGCAATGATAGACAGGAAGCTTGACAGACAGCAAATAGGACAGACAGAAATGTTAGTATACCAGCAAAAACAAAGGGAGAGGGATGTTTATGTTTATCTCATCTTTTGGCATCAGCTCCTAACCCCGATTTACCCTATCAAACATCAGCACTTATCAGATGTTATCTCCCCTTATCTTGTTACTGTCATGGCTGAACATTTATTATTACATATGAATTATTATTACCTATTTATTATTATTATGTATTATTATTATGCTTATTATTATTATGTATTATTTTTATTATGTATTATATTATCATTATTAATTATTATTATTATTATTATTAATGTATTATTGTTATCATTACGTATTCTTCTTCTTCCTCCTCCTCCTCCTCCCTCCTCCTCTGCCTCCTCCTCCTCTTGGCCTCCTCCGCTCTTGATCCTCCTCTCTTGCTCCTCCTCCTCTTGCCTCCTCCTCCCTCTTAGCCTCCTCCTCCTCGCCTCCCTCCTCCTCTGCCCTCCTCCTCCTCCTCCCATTCTTGAACAAGTTTGAAGAGCTTGTAATTCATATTCACTATCACTAATCATCACCGAATGCCAACATCTGAGTCTTCTGGGATTTTGGAAAATAGGAGTTTTCTCTTTGATCCTGGTAATATCTGACGAGAACAAGAGGCCCAGCACCAGAGGTGGAAGGCGTGGGTTGTCTGGGTTTTTCCTCACTATTACCCATATTATGGTCATTAGTTTCGGTCCAAACCTCACCAAACTTGAAACTCACTTCACTGTCACTATCCATCAGTATAGAACTGTCACTGGGGACCAAAATGTCCCAATTCGCCGAGGAGTGAGGAACTTCTTACCACAGGGCAATGGTGGAAATTGTGTACTACAGGCATTCCCACAATTGCACCACTGGGTCCCCATGATTTTTTTCCTACGCGCACACCCACCACACAGAACTCCCTTCTCTCACAACTAGGCTTTTCAGCCTTTTCCTGTGAGATTTGAGGCCGCTAGAAATTTATGCGTACTAGTACGTCAAAAACCCTACCTTAGACGTAACTAGTAGACCAAAACCCTCCAAGGTTAATGATAGTTAGAGGTAATTGGGAAGAATGAGGGAATATTTGAGGAATTGGTTAAATGTGATGAAGATAGGAAGCTGTATTTCGTGTATAGGGCAAGGAGGAATAACATCTTGTAGGAGTGAGGAAGAGCCAGTTGTGAGTGTGGGAAGTTTGTGGAGGCAGTAAGGTAAAATGAAAGGGGTAAGGCAGCCGGGATTGATGGGATAAAGATAGAAATGTAAAAGCAGGTGGGGATATAGTTTTTGGAGTGGTTGGTGCAATTAATTTAATAAATGTATGTAAGAGGGTAATGTACCTATGGATTGGCAGAGGAGCATGCATTGTTCCTTTGTATAAAGGCAAAGGGATAAAAGAGTGCAAAATTATAGGGGTAAGTCGTTGAGTATACCTGGTAAAGTGTATGGTAGAGATATAATTGACAGAATTAAGAGTAAGACGGAGAATAGGAAAGCAGATGAAACAAGGAGGCTTTAGGAAAGGTAGGGGGTGTGTGGACCAGGTGTTTACAGTGAAACATATAAGTGTACAGTATTTATGATAAGGCTAAAGAGGTCTTTGTGGCATTTATGATTTGGAAAAGGCTATGAACAGGGAGGATAGGGGGGCAATGTGGCAGTGTTGCAATGTATGGTGTAGGAGGTAGGTTACCTGAAAGCAGTGTAGAGTTTTTACGAGGATATTGAGGCCTCAGTTAGAGTATGTAGGAAAAGAGGGAAATTTTTTTCCCAGTAAAAAGTAGGCCTTAACATGGATGTGTGATGTCTCCGTGGTTGTTTAATATATTTTATAGATGGGGTTGAAAGAAAGTAAATGCGAGGGTTCATGGCAAGAGGCGTGGGAGTTAAAAGAATTAAAGAAATCACACACCAAGTGGGAAGGTGTCACAGCTGCCTCTTTGTATGATCAAGCTGTGCTCGGGGAGATTCTGAAAGAATTGCAGAGAATTGGTGGATGAATTTTTGGTAGGGTTTGCAAAAAGAAAATTTACAAAGGTGAATACAGGAAAGAACAAGGTTATAGAGATAACAAAAAGATAGGTGATGAAAGATTGAATATCAGATTGGAGAAAGAGTATGGAGGAGGTGAACGTATTCAGGATATTTGGAGTGGACGTGGTCAGCGGATGGGTCTATGAAAGATAGGTGAATCATAGAATGATGAGGGAAAAAGAGTGGGTGGTGCACTTAGGAGTCTGTGGAGACAAAGAACTTTGTCCTTGGAGGCAAAGAGGGGAATGTATGAGAGAATAAGTTTTTACCAACGCTCTTATATGGTTGTGTAGCGTGGTGATGAATGTTGCAGCGAGGAAAGCTGGAGGCAGTGAGATGTCATGTCTGAGGGCAATGTGTGGGTGTGACTTATAATGCAGAGAATTCGTAGTTTGGAAGTTAGGAGGAGTTGCGGGATTACCAAAACTGCTGTCCAGAGGGCTGAGAAGGGTTGTTGAGGTGGTTCGGACATGTAGAGAGAATGGAGCGAAACATAATGGACTTCAAGAGTGTATCAGTCTGTAGTGGAAGGGAAAGGCGGGTAGGGTCCGGCCTAGGAAAGGTTTGAGGGAGGGGTAAAGGAGGTTTTGTGTGCGAGGGCCTTGGACGTCCAGCAGGCATGCGTGAGCGTGTTTTGATAGGAGTGAATGGAGACAAATGGTTTTTAATACTTGACGTGCTGTTGGGTGCGAGCAAAGTAACATTATTGAAGGGATTCAGGGAAAAGACCGGCAGGCCGGACTTGAGTCCTGGAGATGGGAAGTAAAGTGCCTGCACCACTCTGAAGGAGGGTTTAATGTTGCAGTTTAAAAAACTGTAGTGTAAAGCACCCTCTGGCAAGACAGTGAATGGAGTGAATGATGGTGATAGTTTTTTTCTTTTTTCGGGCCACCCTGCCCTTGGTGGGAATCGCCAGTGTGATAAGTAAAAAAAAAAATATGTTTTTTTTCACTGATTACATCATTGCTTAGTTAAATCTTAAGTTAATTTTAACCTGCCCGTAATGCTATGCATACAAGTGGCTTTGCCCCCAAAATGCTGCTCTTACCTGTATTTTTTTTGTACCTATGTAAGTTCAAATTATTAAATAAATAAATCTAATAAATAAATAAAATGTATTGAGAAATAATAAAATGATCCTGGTGAAATCATCTTTAACCTAATTTCCACCACGCAAATGTAAGAACATCAAGAAAACTCATAGAGAACAAACAAAATTCCAAATTAATTTTAAACCCCTACATAAACTGAAACACAAAAGAATCATCTGTAGAATACAATTAAAAAATGGTTGCAACAATAATACTGTAGCATAGCAGCTAACATATTAGTATGATTATGTATGAATGAGGTGAAAGTATTGATGATGTAAAAAAAAAAGTAGTATTTTCTTTTTGGGATTTTCTTTCTTTTTGGGTTACCCTGCCTCAGTGGGAGATGACCGATGTGTTGAAAAGAGAAAAATATTCAAAATGAGCTGAATATAAAACCTCCTCAAAACAACTTACTTACCTGGAACAGAGCGGAGCAAAACCCCCCCTTAGAGAAATCCTCTTTATGTGTGGTGGGCCGTCCACACAGTGTTTGGGAGGTGACATGAAGTAGCACCACAAGTAATTGTTCCCTGCAATAAAAGATAATTAAAACAGCTGAAAGACTTGACACAATGCTTCAATACAAATAAATCATTTCTTATAATTTGCTGATGCTAGTAACCCCTTCTCCTGTATAAATTACTAAATTTAAAAAGAGAAACTTTTGTTTTTCTTTTTAGGTCACCCTGCCTCGGTGGGATATGGCTGGTTTGTTGTAAAAAAAAATTTACTGAGGCCTTGGTAGTAGGTTGGAAGACAGTAATCACCCAAGGAGGTACTACCATCCTGCCAAGTGGGTGTGAAATAGAAGCCTGTTATTGTTTTACATGATGGTACAATTGCTGGTGTCTTTTTTCTAATAAATATGCAGAATTTCAGGTACATTTTGCTACTTTTACTTACACTTAGGTCATACTGCACATGCAATGCACAAGCATATATATACACATCCCTATGGGTTTTCTTCTATTTTCTTACTAGTTCTTGTTCTTGTTTATTTCCTCTTATCTCCATGGGGAAGTAGAACAGAATTTTTCCGTCATAAGCCATGCACGTGGTAGGAGGCATCTAAAATGCCGGGAGCAAGAGGCTAGTAACCCCTTCTCCTGTATACATTACTAAATTTAAAAAGAGAAACTCATTTTTCATTTTAGGTTACCCCGCCTCAGTGGGGGTAAAGGGCCAGTTTATTGAAAAAAAAATGCAGGATATCAGGAATTCCTTGCTACTTTTAACCCACACTTAGGGTTTACACTACCAGCATGTACACCCCATAAAATATACCCACCCATCTGGGTTTTCCCTTTTTATTCTTAATAGTTCTTGTTCTTCTTTTTTCCTACCCCCATGGAGAATGGAACAGAATTTCTTCCTCCGTAAGTCCTGTGTGTCGTAAAGGTAATTACAATTCCCCGGGCCCTTGTAGGGGTGTGCCAAAGTATAATTTCTGGTTTGGGATCTGTGATTTTTTATGGCAATGGGATTTAACCTAAAATTTTAAATATCATATTTGGGGAGTATAAGTAATTTTGTGGTACTGGGGGAGTGGGAAACAGTGTGTTGTGAAATTTAAATTTTTATGGTACATTTGGGCCCCCAGTTATATGCCCCTAATCCGTTCCAGAAAACTTACCCAAAAACCCAAATAGCCAAAAAAATGGGAAAAAATATTTCCCATAAGAAATTTAAAGTAAAAACAATTAAACCATTTCCGACAAAAAAAAAATTTAAAAAAAAAAATAATTTTTTCAACAATTAAAAACAGTATTACATACCTTTATTGGAAAAATAAAACTGGCTTCTGGGAATGCCCACTACACTTCCTTCATGGCCCGCTACAATTCCTGCAAAGCCTGCTACACTTCCGGGATGCCTTTTCAATCCCCGCATGTCTGCTACACCCCCCTGCATGTCTGCTACACTCCCTGCATGGGCCCGTTTCACTCTCTGCATCCCTTTACACTCCTTTCTGCCTGTTTCAGTTCCTGATGCCTGCTACACTTCCTGCACCTGCTACACTTCCTGCATGCCTGCTTTTAAATTTTCCCGTATTCCCTGCTACACTCCCTGCATGTTGCTACATCCCTTTCATGTCTGCTACACTCCCCACAGCCTGTAACACTTTCTGCCTCCCTGTTAAAACTCCCCTTTCATGCCTGTTTAAGTTCCTGCATGCCTGTACACTTCATGCATGCCTGCTACACTCCCTGCCCGGCTTGCTACAAATTTTCTAATGCCTGTTTCCCCTCTCTGCATGCCTGCTACACTCCCCGCATGCCTGCTAAAAACTTCATGCATGCCCGTACACTCCCTGGGAGGGCCCGCACACTCTCTACATGCCTGAAACACTCTCTAAAGCCCCGCTACACTTCCCCGCAGGCCTGCTAACTTCACGCTTAAAACCATGGTGGTTTTTTACCTTCTTTACCACAGGAAACTTTTAGGAAATTTTTTTTTGGGCCATGGTTTTCTTTTTTTCACATTTCACTACAAAACAACCAAAAAAAAATGGGAAAACAAGACAAAATGTTTGAATTTTATGAGCAAAGCTTCCTTAAAGCACCGTGGACACAGCCAAAATTTCGTGCAAGCGGCCCCCGCCGGGGGATGGGTGTGTCCAAAAAGGCCGATCACCGAAAGATGGGTGATCACGGAGCGGCCGATAACAGGAACGGGCCCATAACAGAGGGGCCACTGTATCATATGGGGCCCCAAAAATTTGTACGTGGACCCTCGAGGTAAAGGCATTAATCCCCCCTTTGGGGGGTTCCCAAAGGGGAAAAAATTTAAAAATTTAAAAGGGGTTTTACTTTTTATTTTTTTTTTTTATTTTTTATTATAAAAATTTGGCGGTTCCCCCCCAAAGGGCCCGGGGGGCCCCAAAAAGAAAAACTTTCAACCCTCATTCTCCCCTCCCCTTGGGCCCTTTCCAGAAGGGTGCTTTTAACCCCAAAGTTTTTTAAGCTGCAAAATTAACACCCCTCCTTCAGAGTCGGCAACCCCGTACCCTTTCCCCTCTCCAGGACTCAAGGGCCTGCCTGCCCCGGGTTTTCCCCGAAAACCCCCCTTTAAATGTTTTAATTGGCTTTTACCCCTTTTAAAAGCCGGGCAAGTATTAAAAAACCCTTTTCTCCATTCACTCCTTTTCAAAAACGCTTTAAGGCCCTGCCCGCTGGAAGAACCCAAAAAACCCTCGGGACAAAAAAACCTCCTTTAAACCCCCCCCCCTCCCAAACCTTTCCTAGGCCGGCCCCCCACCCCCCCTCCCTTTCCCACACACTGATACACTCTTGAAGTTATTCTGTTTCGCTCCTTTTTCTCCACCTGTCCGAACCACCTCAACAACCCTTCCTCAGCCCTCTGGACAACATTTTTGGTAATCCCGCACCTCCTCCTAACTTCCAAACTACGAATTCTCTGCATTATATTCACCCACTTTGCTCTCAGACATGACATCTCATGCCTCCAGCCTTCCTCGCTGCAAATTCATACCATGCTTCCACCATATAAGAGCGTTGGTAAAACATACTCTCATACATTCCCCTCTTTGCCTCCAAGGACAAAGTTCTTTGTCTCCACAGACTCCTAAGTGCACCACTCACCTTTTCCCCCTCATCAATTCTATGATTCACTCATCTTTCATAGCCCCATCGCTGACACGTCCACCCCCAAATATCTGAATACATTCACCTCCTCCATACTCTCTCCCCCCAAATCTGATACCCAAATCTTCATCACCTAATCTTTTTGTTTCCTCATAACCTTACTCTTTCCTGTATTCACTTTTAATTTTCTTCTTTTGCACACCCTACCAAATTACCACACCAATCTCTGCAACTTCTCTTCAGAATCTCCCAAGAGCATAGTGTCATCAGCAAAGAGCAACTGTGACAACTCCCACTTTATTTTGCAATTCTTTATCTTTAACTCCACGCCTCTTGCCAAGACCCTCGCATTTACTTCTCTTACAACCCCATCTATAAATATATTGAACAGCCATGGTGACATCACACATCCTTGTCTAAGGACTACTTTTACTGGGAAATAATTTCCCTCTTTCCTACATACTCTAACTTGAGCCTCACTATCCTCGTAAAACTCTTCACTGCTTTCAGTAACCTTACCTCCAACACCATAAACCTGCAACATCTGCCACATTGCCCCCCTATCCACCCTGTCATACGCCTTTTTCCAAATCCATAAATTTTTTTTTTTTTTTTTTTCACAAGTCGGTGTCTCCCACCGAGGCAGGGGGACCCAAAAAAAAAAAGAAAGAAAATCCCCAAAAAGAAATACTTTCATCATCATTCAACACTTTCACCACACTCACACATTAAACATGCTTTTGCAGAGGTGCTAGAATACAACAGTTTAGAAGCATATAGTATAGAGATACACAACAATTTCCCTTTCCCAAAATGCCAATATCCCAAACCCCTTTTAAAGTGCAGGCATTGTACTTCCCATTTCCAGGACTCAATCCGACTATATGAAAATAACCGGTTTCCCCGAATCCCTTCACTAAATATTACCCTGCTCACACTCCAACAGATCGTTCAGGTCCAAGTATCATTCGTCTCCATTCACCCCCTATCTAACACGCTCATGCACGCTTGCTGGAAGTCCAGCCCCTCACCCACAAAACCTCCTTTACCCCCTTTCCCAAAACCTTTCGAGGAGACCCCTACCCTCTTTCCCTTTCCCCCTATAATTTATATGCTTTCCATGTCATTCTACTTTGATCCTTTCTCTCTAAAGACCAAACCACCTCAACAACCCCTCTTCTGCCCTCTGCTAATGCTTTTATTAACTCCACACCTTCTCTAATTTCCACACTCCGAATTTTTTGCTAATATTTACACCACACATTGCCCTTAGACAGGACATCTCCACTGCCTCCAACCTTTCTCCTCGTTTGCTGCATTTACCACCCAAGCTTCACATCCATATAAGAGTGTTGGTACTACTATATTTTCATACATTCCCTTCTTTGCCTCCATAGATAACGTTTTTGACTCCACATATACCTCAACGCACCACTCACCTTTTTTCCCTCATCAATTCATGATTAACCTCATCCTTCTAAATCCATCAGCCGACACGTCAACTCCAAGTATCTGAAAACATTCCCTTCTTCCATACTCCTCCTCCCCCAAATTTTATATCCAATTTTTCTTTATCTATCATTTGATACCCTCATCACCTTACTCTTTTCTATGTTCACTTTCAACTTTCTACCTTTTTCACACATTCTCAAACTCATCCACTAACCTTTGCAATTTTCTTTAGAATCTCCCATAAGCACAGTATCATCAGCAAAAGTAACGGGGTCAATTCCCATTTTGAAATTTTATTACCCATAATTTAATCCCACCCCTCTCCCAACACCCTAGCATTTACTTCTTTTACAACCCCATCTATAAATATATTAAACAACCATGGTGACATTACACATCCCTGTCTAAGACCTACTTTTTTCCGGGAATATTCTCCCCCTCTTCTACACACCTAACCTGAGCCTCACTATCCC